GAGACACTACCAGTGTCTCCAGATAAAATCCTAAAGTTCATTTTCGGTTTTTACTTTATATTTTTATGTCCTTAGCTTTGCGGTACTTTTGCTCGATATACTGTTGTTCATAAAAAGTTTGAGAACACTTTTTATTGTCTAGTATCTCAAAATTAAGTAAAAAAGGTCTTTAAAATATTTTGAAAAAATATGTGTAAATCGAGAACATTATAGCGAATTTTGTTCTTTTCTTTACTTTTTCTCTAAACTTTGTGTGCTCCGCAGTGACAATCTAACAGAGTTGAGTACCTGTATGCGAATGCAACGCGAGCGCGAATGAATCGCGAGGACGGCACACGGATGGATCACCAAAAAACAGTTTGATCGCTAACTTTAGTTCTTGTAACAAAATAATTAAATTTATTGGTTTGATCTGACATGCACTTTGTACAAAAGAAAATATATAATGATATAAACTTAGTTTTAGGATTTACTCTGGTCGAATAAAAGATCGCGGCGCTTTCACGGCGGCTTAGCACTTCGAGAATTTTCTAGAAAGTTATTGCGTGGCGATTTTGCGGCGGTTTTTCACAAGGAATACTCTCTCTAAGGACTCCGAGCACAGACGGGAAGGGAACGGCAACAATAGCTCTATTTCTATATATCGCATACGCGGCACGGAGCGTTCTTTTTATTGTAGCGAATAGAGGTTTGCCAACAATTTTGTTTTTCGATTGATTTACCTCCCGTCATGTGCGGTGTAATAGCCATGCGCGGTAGCAAATCCGTAATTAGGATTGGAGGCCGCGCGTGACGTTTACTGCTACGCGATGGGCGCGCGTGCGCAATCGCGCAGTTTCTAGAACATTCGCGAATTCTGGAAGGTTCGGTACTCTTTTGCTATTATTGGTATCATGTTAATGCTAAGGTTGAACTTACGAAGACCTTTACTGCTCCTTTTATATACACAATTTAATACTGATTATTACTTCTTTACCGAGATCGAATTTTCTCTTTTAACTTTCTTTTCATGATCTCAAACGTACCATGCAATTAAAACGAGTCGATCTTCGAAACAACGACTCTGAAATTCTTCGTTTCAGACTGTTTATTCACCAGTCAGACTAATTAATTTCTTGAGGCGAGTGATACGGTTATGGCACGTTGACAGCCTTAAAACTTGATATTGGTACGTACGCCAAAAACTTCAACGTGCGAGGGAGTTGGAAATTTTGTCGCGAATGAAACAGAATTCTTCAAGCACGCGAACGCAAACAGAAATCATGTCACGAAAGGAGGTTCTTAGTTTACTTTCACACATATTGAGCAGTTCACGCGTGAAATATTCACTCACTTAAGCTACACAGTAATTTAGCGATTAAACGCTGATAATTGGTTTAATTCCATTAATGCCAAGAATCGAGAGCATAGAGGATCGATTAGATCGGTACGAAAACAAGGAATACAAGAGAACGTAAGAAAAAACTTGAAGAGAAAACAACCCATACTGATCGGCAGGGCTGTTTCAAAAGCTTGTTGCGTCCGGATACAGAATATTTCGTCGCACAGAGGAGCGAAACGTAGATTCCCAAACACAATCCGAAACAAAATTTTTTGTATTTTGTATATTTTATCATTAAAAATATTTAGTAAAAAATGGTCTTGCTTTTCATTTCTATATTAAAATCGACATTACGAAAAACCAATAAATACTTAAATAGAATTCATCAAAGTTCTCGTTCAAGCATTTTGTTGATTTGATCAAGATGCGCTATCTGATTCAGTTATAAGATAATTACGTAAATACATTTACATTGTAATTTAGATTTTGTTATCAGATTAGTATTACTACTATATATTAAATAATTTTTTTATATAGTTTATTAAAAATATTTAAACTAATAAAAAATAATAATAACGGCCGTAGGAGTCAACGCAGTTATTAGTGCGATTATTTTATATTTATTTGGTTTATTACATAAACTTTGATTTGATTTCGACGAGCGCAATACAATAGAAAATTGACGTTTCGAACTCCTCTTTTCATTCTCAGAAAGAATTATCCATAATAACAATTTCTTATTTTGCAATCAATTTCTTCAAGTCAGTTTCTTCAAGAATTCTCCATAATACAAGTTCTTATTCCGCAATCAATTTCTTCATGTAATGTGTGGGTTTCCCAACAGTTGGCAGACTACTGGAATCAACATAAGCGTCGCACTCCATTACATAAATAAAATACTTCGATAAAAAAAAATTTTCCGTAGCAGACAGTCATACTAATAAAATAATGATAACTTTCAAAAATATCCGTGCAATATACGTCTTGACACAACGGTTTCTAAGTGAAGACTGTCTCACTCAAACGCAACATCTTTATCTAACATATGCCAGCACTATCTATCGCAAAACCGCGCAACTACTGCTACATAGAATTTAAGTTCTATTGACAGTTCCAGTCTTCGCAAAGTATCTGTATACACGTATTTTACATTCGGTGACGATACTTTTTTTCTAGACTTTCAATCTTAGTTCTACAAACTCGGTATCGTTCGTTCCAGTAATGTGACGTCAGCTGCATGCTTATTTTTATGATATGGACTCTAAAACTCTTATATCAAGCAAATATATATCTGAGGTAACAGATGTACGAGCCAAAAGTAAGTGAATTTTTAACGAATTTTAAACTTTTTTTCGATTTTCTCATGAAATCCAGTGTAGTTGAGGTCCTGTTTGTGCGTACTTTAATTTAAGTAATAATACTTTTGCAATCTGTAAATCCAATTTAGAGATTTTTCACCAAGTAGAAATGTGGTAAAACAGGAGACTTTAGCATATCCTTAAGGAGATGCTAAACCAATTACCAAACTCGATCAAGGTTGTTAGTACAGACTTTTTTAATTCCAAATTCGATAATAGTGGTGACATCTTTGATTCAGTTTTTACATTATATAATATTGTTACGTCCAACCCTGATTATTTGAAGAGAGAGAGAAGGAAGGAAGATGGAGAGGGTATGGAAGGACGGTTGACTCAATCTCACAGGTATACGCATGGAAGCGTACAGTCGTGAGTCGTTAGCACCCTTTTAAGTCCCAGAATGTGGGTCAACGTCCTGAAGGGACGCTATGACACCTGTTCCGATGGACAGTGCGAACGTCGGTCCTACTTTTTAGGTCAAGGAACTTAATCCTTTTGACCCGGGACTGGACCTTGTGCGATCTTAGGCGTTATAGGGAACGGGATACGAGTGAGGCGATTTAAAAATTAAATGCGACTTTATGAGAGAAAACTAAAAACTTACTTTTATTCGTGAAAATTAAACTAATTTACATAACTAACTTAGGTTTTATTACAATAGCTTTAATATTCGTGAATGAACGTGTATGCATCTTTTATTTTTACAAGATTTGAGTGCATGTGTGTGTGTGTGTGTGTGTGTGTGTGTGTGTGTGTGTGTGTGTGTGTGTGTGTGTGTGTGTGCGTGCGTGCGTGCGTGCGTGCGTGCGTGCGTGGAAGGGGAAATGATTATCGAGTATTAGTTGCGAGGAAGATAGTCCATGGGCAGGCTGGGACGAGATGCTTCAGTTGGACGAGGAGAGGGGAGGAATTCCCAGGGACATAGACAGTGATTATTCTATCCCCTTGGAGGAGGACGAAAATAGTTGGAACATCCGATCCCAATCGATGGATTGGGGATCGGGGTGGATAGGAGGGGGAATTGGGAGTCGATCAAAGGAAAGAGGGGGAGTTGGGAGTTGATCAAAGGAAAGAAGGGGAGTTGGGAGTTGATCAAAAGGAGAAGAGAATCTTTTCTCTCTCTCTCTCTCTCAATTAGGGGAGGAGAGTAGTCCAAGATCTCTTGGACTTCAGGATCAAGAGGAGGGAGAATGGTCAAGTCAAGGGGTTGTGCGTCTGTGAGTGTAAGTGAGTAAGAAACTGGTGTGTAGGTTATTGTGGTGTCAGGCAGTGGTGTCGGTACTCGGGGAGGTGCGGTTTCGGCTGGTTGCGGCGTTATTATTACTGTGGGACGGTCGCAGCCTTGTTCTAGCGGCGTTCGATTGTCCAACGCCGGACGATTTCGCAAACTCCGCCGGGCATAGGGAGTTCGTCCTCGCTTGTTTTTACAAGAGTGGGACCGCACTATAATTAAGTTGGTGGTTAAAATATTTATCCCGATATATACAATATATATATATATGTGTGTGTATGCGTGTGTGTGGTCGCGTGCGCGCTGGTATGGAAGAAAAAAAGGGGGGGGGGG